TCATTCTACATTTATGGACAACATAAGATCTGACTCCAGGACTAAAACTCAAACTTGACTATATGTATAAAGTTCAAGAAAGTTTGCCATCTTCCACAGATAGATACTCTGCAGTCCATTCTTACACCAGCATTAAATCCAGAGTTTCACTTCTGAAATATCAAGTATAAATAAATCATTTCCCTCTGGGATTCTTAAAGTATTTCTGATTCTGATATAAACACACAAAAAACAAACTCTGAAATTCATTAGTCATCTAATCTGATACATTACATTTGTATGGAGAGATGTTGGCGAAATTGGTTGGTTTCAGGTATATTCAAAGAAAATCAAGATGCTGAGACTTAAATCCCAACCTGAGACTTTAAAGCTTTAGTATACAAGTTTTTTTTGTTATAATAGTTATATGTGTGTGTGTGTGTGTTTGTAAATGCTTCAAGTTCTCAAGCCACTCTTGAAAAAAAGAAAAAGAGCGTTCAATTTTCAATTTTCCATAATCAAATAAAATATATAAGTATCGTAAAACATACAATTTGAGCGTAGCAAAGTTGTTTTTTCCGTAGTTCCGTGCTGAATGCACAAAGAACTTAAATATATCTTTAGAGAACTATTGGCTTTGGCTTCTGCATCACAAAATAAAGAGACGGTAGTTTCCCACACACATCCATAAAATTGAGCATAAGCTCTGTAATTTCCTGTGCCGGATATAAAGCGATGTCAAATTATCAGCAGCCCAAATAAGTTCAATTCATGCTCTAATTTCCTTAGAAAACGCATACACTCAAACCCACATTCAGCCAGAATGCAAAAGCTGACTTGGTACACCTAATTAAATACACAAACAGTGGAGAGCACACACTGACACAAATACACACAGTAACGGACACGCATCCATTCAAGCATGGGTGGAAGAAAGAGAGGAAACGGAACACAAAGTACAGAGAACTTCATGGAAATCGAGTCTGCATCTGCGTTGTCTGAACGTGAAAGTGTGTGTGTGTGTGTGTCCTTTAAATATAATTAGCTCCGTCAGGCAGAAATACAAACGATAGAAACTGTAATGACACTCTTCTCTGATCTGCTAAGAGCGAGCGTTCCCATTCCCTCTTTTTGGTCATCTCCTCTCTGTTTCCTTTGTCATTTCATGTGGAAGTGAATACGATACGTGGGCTTTTCAAGCCCCAAAAGTCCACGTTTCAGTGCTGTCACGTTATGAACACATTACACTGAGTTTGTGCGATTAAATCTTCAGCTGAAATGATTCAGTTCCCTGCGTACATTCATTTACCCAACCTGCTGTCTTGAAGATGGAACTCCCTTTGAGGACACAATCTGGAACGCATCATCCGAACAAAACCTTGTGTGGATTCACATGTGCTTGAGCATGTCTACATGCATCCACATGTGTTTGGCTCACAGGCAAACCATTCTCAGTTTGAAAAACGGCCGCTATCCGAAGTCTGTCTCTTTCCATTTGGAAATTAAACTGTCAACCGAGCGATTACTTCCATTTCATGTCTAAACCTCTTGAGATTTTTGTCCTTGTCTCGGGAAGTCAGTCGAAACATATAATTTCTAACTGGAAAAAAGATCCTCAGTTACAGATCTCTGTGAAACTGAAGCCAGCAGAGGGGCAACGTCTCAAAAAGTCAATATCATGAAGCATTTATAGATCAGGCCTTTTAGAGGAAAACGTCCTCTGCTTCCTGTGAAACAAAAGACATCAAATGCCAGCTTACTAACAACTCAGATTTCCTCATGTGCACATTTGGGTGTAAGAGTCTGCGTAGGAGTGTGCGCACACTGTGTGTGGAGTTTGTATCGATCCCTGTGTATCGGAGGAGCTGTCCTTTGTGGGAAAGAAGGGAAATTAAAGAAAAAGAATTAAACAGGAAGCGGAGAGGAAGAGTGATGCAGCGGAGAATAGAAAGCACCAGTGAGGATGAGGGAGACGGAAGTGGAGGGGCACAAATTCACCAGATACACACATTCACCCAGGTGGAGATTAAATGCGACTTTGTACGTTTGCTTTCGTCTCTTTTTAATCTTTCACTTCCTCTCTGCTAACTGCATCCTCTTGTCACATGTCATTTATAAAGAGACCGTTTCTATTTTGGACAGATTCACTCAAACCACACGGGCCTCTGCTCTCATAGGCCTCATTTAAATCGAGCTGAATCTTTGGCTGTGGGAGTCAGTGTGTTTCATAATAAACAGCATTTGTGCACTAAGCTATTTAAGACAATGCCTTGCATCAGTGCCCATCCCTAACCTATCCCAGGGATGAGTCACCCTCAGCCAGTGGATGTGGTATACCTTTGTTTATAAGTGATAGTGCATGCCATGGAAACTGAAAAAACACCGGGCTATGAAAAAAAGAACCAACACTGCAACTAATGACATATCTTAGCTATTTGAGTACCAGATTTAACTTCTCCTGTCAAATTATGTCGTCTCACTCGTAACATTTCCTTCTTCTTATTCTTGTCGACACAAAGTTAATATATTTGTTACATAATTGTTTGATTTTATATTCATTGCTTATAAAATGTTGACGTCATTTAAGTATTCGGACATGAGATAAATAGGGTAGAAAAAGATGTCTTAACAAACGAAAACAACAAAAAAAATCGACTGCTGCACACAATTTGCATTAATCCATGAACCAAAGTAAAGTTGTTCCACCCCAGCTGAGCTGCTGGTGTGGATGCAATTAGGAACTCATGGTCAGGTAAACACTTATCCAGCGCCTGCAGCAGATCCCGTATTGTCATTAAAAAGTTACTGTCAGGATTTTCTGAGGAGGCGCATGGACAAAGTCATCTTTATGCCAGGCCCCACTGCATCGTTCTTTGTCATGGAACAAAGAAAAGATGGAATGAGAACAGTTGCCTGCTTACTCTTAACTTTTTTTTAATATAATTTCATGTGCAATGAGGCGAGGGTGGACCATGGATTTTATGCACTAAGTCTTTTAAAAAATCCTCATTTTAGAAGCAGACACAGCCAGTTCGATAAATGAAATTGATTAAGTTTAACACCACAAAATCAATACAAATAATTAAGAAATTCTAAAAATATGGCATTGTCATTTAAGATTCAACAAATATCAAACGACTTCCTCAATATCTGTAAGACTGGAAGCCCTCTGAAAAGAACTTTCCTTTAAAGTCAGCCACAAACACCATCGCCAGGGAGGCGGACGGCCTTCCAAGTCCTCCGTTCCGTGGACACATTTCTGAGCTTCAGAATGTACAGTTGTGGAGGCTGAAAGGCATTCATTAAAGACACGCAGGAGGCAACGATCAATCCCTCCAAAGCAGAAAAGCACTCAACAGGTGGTGAATGCGCACTAAATAAGCCAGCTACTTTTGGTAAATAATCATATGGATAATGCATATTTAAGTCAATAAGCTGCAGGCAGCTATGTGTGCAAATAGAATGCCGAAATGGAGAAGATTCCGTGAAAGATTGTTGTTGTTGGCTTTTAAATCAGATCCGTATCAAGTTAATCTCTTGGAACTGTGAAGAACTTGAAGTTTTCGTAAAGGATTTCATGTGCCTCCACCAGTGGCTGCTTTGCTCTGCCAATGCCCACGATCATGATCTCCCTTACATCCACTCTAAGGCCGTAATACCCTTTTCTTTTAATTCAACAAGTTTTGTGTCCACCGTGTGTCAGGGTGAGGGCATTATTTTTGTTTTTTTCTCTTTTCCGAGGCAGATTTGCCTCGGCAAGATGGATAACAGACAGGCCATGTCAGCAGACAGGTCTCAGAATCCAGGCAGACTGTCAGGCATCGCCAAAGGCCGTCTGATAAGTTCTTATCAGCTGCCAGGTGACGTCTATGATTCGTATTCAGGAACTGTAACAGTGAACAATACAGGGACGACTACAAAAACAGTCAATGCACAGAAATGTGAGCACATGATGTCAAAAAAGCTTTGTTCTCTTTTATTAGAATTCTTTCTAAATTGAAAGAGCTAGCACGTTTTGAAACGCGTCTTAATCTTCCTTCATCCTTCCTTCATCCATCCTATCGTAATCCTATCTTTTATTTCATCAGTCTCCCGCTTTCAGTGTGACACAACCACACCCAAAGAAATGAGAAACCCTCTTATGCCCCACCCTGTCCAGTCTGCCAAGTTACTGCCAACACCTCCCACAGACACACAAATACACACATATCCAAAAGCCTACACCACGAGTTTCACAAAGAGGCCATGGACTCCCCTCATTTATTGACATGCGTACCCACTCCCAAGCAACACTGCTCCCACACTCAATACATACACCCATGTCGGTGTCCTGAACCCACAAATGAGCACACACACACACACACACACACACACACACAGTCACAGTTCAGTCTATTCTGATCTAATGTGATCATAGCAAATAAGCTCTGTGGTGGAGGCGAACCACAGTCTTTTCCTGCCAGTCCATGACATCACTGTAAGGGTGAAAAGCATTATGGTCCACAAAGTGGGGTGAGAGAACTGAGTGACAAGTGGTAACCATGGGAACTGTCAGTTTGGCTCTCTGTTGCCAGAACAACATGCAAGTTTCTCAGTGTGGCGAGTTAAAAGCTAATTTAAAAAAAAGGATAACAAATGCAGCTGCTGAGAAAGAAATATGTAGAACAGAATCACACACACACGAGGAGATGCGTGCACACTCTTTGCTCACAGGGGTAAATTTACATAAACCCTCTAAATATGATAAAAGAATAACAGATTTCATTGTAGCAGCTCACTGCATGAGATCTAATCCTCCCATCTGAGTCAAAGGAAGATGATCTGAAGATGAAAGCATTTTAATAGAGGCACTCTACTTATGCTCTCAGTGTGTTGCATCTGGATGCGGACACAGAGCACCAAAAGCTTCGTTCAGTGTATGAAAGCTAAACTCTTAAGTCTGGGTGTAAATGGGAGCAGGAAAAAGCTGCAGCGATATGAGAAAAAGAGATCAATATGAAAAGATAGGCAACAGAACCACATGCGCGTCTTCTTACTCGTAACAGGGATTGGGACTCCTCTTTCGTGGCTCCGCCTTTCCCGTCCTGTGCTCCTCCTCCACCTCCACTCCCTCCTCCTCCTCCTCCGCTCGTGTACTGATGTGCTGAGATCTGGCTCTGCTTCTCCCCTCCTCCTCCTCCTCCCGTAGCAGATCCACCTTGTCTCCCTCCCCCGTACAGTTTGGTATCTCCCAAAAACGACTTGGTGTCTCCCAGGTAAACCAAACTTGGTGAGGCCACGCCTCTTTTCTGCTGTGAGGGGTCATGATTGGCTGCAACAAAAGACAGTGAGAGGGGAGAGGGGAAAAGAGAAGGACTCCCACTTCCTGCTCCTCTTTCAGGTCCCATTCGCTCCTTGGGCACCCAGAGTAAACCGTGGGCCTGATCGCCCCCTCTGTCTCCGGGTCCTCTCGACTCCCCAAGAACCCAGACCTTTTCCAGTTCTCTCTCTTTCTCCTCACGTCCTTCACTTTTCACCAGCCCACCTGTCTCCTCCCTGCCCCCTTCGGCCAATCGTCCCTCTGGCGGCGCAAGGGAGTAGAGCAGGCGTATGTCCCCCTTGCTCTCCTCCTTGATGGCTAAGGTGGAAGGAGCTGAGCAGCCATTGGAGGAGAGCGTGAGCGAAGGTGTCAGCGAAGTGGGCAGCGACCCCAGTGACGGAGAGGAGTCGCGACAGTGGGTGGAGTTAAAATGGTCGAGGAGGGCGGACGAATCGGGAGCCGTGAAGTCACAGTGTCGGCAGCGGCAGCACGCATGGACACGCCTGCACAGAGAGATAACGTTTGTTTTTAATCAGGATGGATGAATTTACTCACAGTGTAGATCTGATTGTGTGTGGAGATAAGCAATCTCCTAATGTTGCAAGGCAAACCGGTCATGTGATTTTTTTTCAAGTAAGTCCTTAAAACACATCTTGAGTCGCGCTGAAGTTATACTGCAATTTACATGTCCCTGAAAGCAGCACTCAAGAATAAAAGATATAACATTGTATTTCCTCGTTAAGGCATTGTTAAGCGGGTCATTACATTTGTTCGTCTAGAATATAAAAGGGACTAATTTCCTTAGTTTGATGGTGATTTTGCTCATGCTAGGAAAAACTCAAAGTGCAAGCTGATATTTAAAGTGACCACTCAGGCTGAGTTTCACAGAGCTTGTGGCCAACAAGTGACTCAGTGTTCGGCGACATCACGGTGAATTACTTAGGAAAGGTTAGGAACATAAATGAATCTGAATGACAAGTACTGAATCACCCATCAACAAACCACCTTCATTTCCTGTTGGCAATGCCCAGAACGCCCATACATCCAGGACATGACATGAGAGGTTTTCTCCTGGCTCAGGAAACAGTTGTGGTGCTTCTTGTGCGGGCCAACAAGCAAAATCAATAAACCATCTACAACATAAACTTGGACTGCTGCTCGCAGTGGCCTTTGGTGGGCAGCTAATTTACATTTCCATTATATGAGCAATACTAACAAGCAGCTGTCACGCACTATACATACATGAATCTCATAGTTTCACTGAACAATAAAACTGCATGTTATTGCCCTTTTTGGGATTATCACATAGTCTGTGTTTATGCTAAAAATTAGATTTTAATTGGCTTTACACATATTTTGCAATGGAATGAAATCAAATCAAAAATGGTTAATTTATCCCTTAGAGAAATTATGTAACTTGCAAGCATGTTAGCATGGAAATTAATCATGTTCCCTTGTCAAGACAGTCATTTTGGCAGATGAGTCATGTTGATTTGCTCTCTGCTTCCACTTTGAGAGAACTGTCATCCAACAGTAATAATCTGCACAGATTGTACCATATGTGGCTTTTTCTCACCAGTGGCTTCTTATTGCTCCACTGCAGCAGTGCAACTGAGTGCAACAGTTTGGTTTCACAACAAATAAAAAGGCATTCAGCCATGGGCAGGTTGAGAATACACCAAAAATATGCAACAAAGGAAATGATACTAAAACTTTTTTTTCCCTCTTTCTTTGCTATACGACTTGAAAGAACTCTCCAGTGGGTCAAAAGGGTGTGAATATTCATAGCAATTTGTTAAAGCCTGCGAGTGAAAAGGTCTACCTTACATTTAGTCGACTAAAATTGCCTCCAGATGTAGAACAAAGACAAAGAGGCTTCTGTCTGTCATCAGCATATACACGCCACACGAGCACGCATTCTGACTCATTCACTCACTTCCCTGGTGTGTCACCGTTCTTCCCTGCACACACGTTTATGATAAATGAGTGTTATATTACTCCCACTGCACACAAAGCATTTCAACCTAACTTACCCCTGAAAACTGTATCCAGCAGTGTTTTTGTCCCTTGGTTCCATGCCCAAAGGAAAAAGGTAATATATCGCTGGTTTCAGCATCAAATAATTGACTTTTTTTAAAAAGGTATTTAACCTTCAAAGAGATTGTGCTTCTATCACCTGTTACCTTTTGTTCAAAGCTCAATTTCTCGTCCAAATTCTTTTGCAAGTATACATAGATGATCACTAGAAGAACGACAAATGCAAAAGATTTCAAAAGAGACGCATAGCCCAGGTTCTCAATACCTCCAATTATATTTTGGGTCTTATCTCAGTGACTGAAGAAACTGTAGTGTGAGGCTGATATTTTAGCTTGTTTAATTTTCTTTGCGAAGCTCTCCTTTTGCATAATTTACCAGACCACCATGTCACATTTCATCTGCATACCATACACCGATGCAGTGGAGTATTTCTGATAGCAGCTCCAAGGACTGAGCAGTTGCTTCACACCCATCGTCAAAGCCTTAAACTAAAGGATCTTAAATAATCCACACTCCTTGTGTCTAACACGTGAAAATAGTGCAGGCCATCACATCATATCAGTTCATCTAAAAGGTTTGAGAGTAACCTGTCCATGTTTGCGGGAATGTGAGCGCTAACTAACAGGTTAGCGTTACCGCTAAAGGGGTTTACCACAATGTTCCCCAGTTAAACTGACGCACCTTCTCAGTCAGCACAAAATACCCAAGAGTCACATCGGTGAGTAAGCGTGTGTAGGTGTTCAAGGTATTTCTGCACCCTGATAGGAATGTTTCTTTTTTTTTTTTTTTAGTTGACAAGGACTTTTTTTCTTTGTCAGACCATGGTCCTCTGCTCTGAACACCACATGATTAAATTCAGTATTTTGTTGGTTAAAACAGCTCTCCTTAGCTTTGGGTTATTTCACTGGTAGTGTGAGGCTTTCTGGCTTTATTTCACTTTGATTTGATTTCAGCACCAAGATTCCGAGCTTAGATTTGGTTAAGGACGCGGGTGGACTGTTAAGTCTCCCCCTAAACTCTGCTTTGTCACCCTCTCTCCCTCCTCTCCTCTCCGACTTTCTTTCATACTCTTTCTCCCTGCCATTCTTCATTTCTTTCCCTTTTCTCTTAATCTTAACCCTCTGTTCTCTCTTCCTCCATCATACACTCTGTTTTCACCCTCAAATGATGCAAGCTTTTAAGTCTTTCGCTCGTTTGTGACAGAGAGCTGCAAGAAGGACTTTGTCAGCCTGTTGTGTGCGTAGGACGGAAAACTTCTCTGTGTGAGTTTGGTAATGAGCAAACATCGAGAAGGATTTCAAATGTGTAATCCAGAAAAGATTTTAAAATACAGCACAATGTTACAACTACCTCAGGTTCTGTGTATCTCTCTCTGGATCTATGACGTATTCAGCCCCAACTTTCTCACACCACTCCTCTGACTTTCCCACCCTAATTCACTCGAGCTTTCTCTATCATTTGCTGGCTCTGTCATTGACACACCAGAGAACATGTGTGTCTGTGTCTGTGTGTGTTTCTGTGTCTGTGTCGTCAACAAATTGGCTCTGGAGCCTGGTCTGTCCTGTTCTGACTTATGGGGAGCTGCAAAGCCAGGCGTATGCCTCCCTTTCTTAAGCAGGTAACCGCATTCACGAATGTGTGCAACCATTTAATCATTCGTAAGCTCACCTGGGTTTTTTGTTTTGCACACACACACACACACACACAGAAAAGACAGATAAGGAAATGTCAGCACTGCTTAAAGTTTCCTTTTTCTTTAACATTCAGCAAGTGAAAGAGGAAGCCTAAGGGGAGCTCCTCTTGATTTAGTCGTGGAAGACGAATCAAAACCCCCACTTTTGTCTGGGATTCACTTGTCATTATGAGGCAATGACTTGGCTCCAGCAGTCAGCTGAGGTTTGTGGATGTTGGTTTCCAAAGTGACGATAATAGACATTTATCACTGAGAACATCAGTGTGTATGTGGGGCTCAGTATGGAACACTTCAACACGAGAGGGGTTGAGGCTTCAACCATCAATCCAACCGAGGAGCCACCACCAGAAAACGCCTGGTGTGAAAAAAACACACTGAAAGCTGCTCATTTATCATCAAATCACCCAAAATGCACATTAAATCCTTATGTGAACACACTGTTACTCTGTTCCGATGGAAGGAAAACCAAAGTGACTAATTGAGATAGGTGATGCTCCAGTGAAGGAAAGGATGCCAAGCGAAAAGGCATCAGGACCAAACACAGAAAGTCGATTAAGCTCATGGCTGTCCGTGAGATTTCTGGCATAATTTCACCATCATCCTAAGACATAGTATTCTGTTTCCCCTAGACAAGCTGCATGTGAGCAATGCAGATCAGCATGTGGACCACAAAAAAACTCCATGTTTTCATGTGTTGAGCACAAGTAGCTGAAGAAGAAGTATTTCTATTTTTGGAAGCATCATCACAGACGCAAATGTGAAGGCTACGTGGTTTTAAGCTCACCTGTAGTGTCTAAAAATCTCTTCTTCCACTTCCGTGATGAAGTGACACTTCGTACATGAATACTCCCTCTCTCCTGCCCCACCCTTCCCTCCATCCTTCTCCTCCCCTGCCTCCTCCTCAGCTTTGACGTGTGGGGGAGCCCCTTTAAGGTTGATGAGGGTGTGGCAGCTTTCGTAATGTTGCAGCAACACGTCGATGTCAGTGTTGGCAAATGCACACTGGTCGCATAAGTGGGTGACACCTAGAGAAGCGAGACACATCAGAAGTTAGTAATTAAGAGGGGGATCCGTGCTGACAAAGAAGCTCTGCCTTACACCATCTCTTACAGGCTGGTAAAGCTGGTGGTTTTCAGCTAAATGCAACAGTTTGAAAGAAATGACGGCCATATGCTGTTCATTTGCTCAGCAGTGAACTGTGGCTTTAAATACCTTGTGTGACAACAGGATGCGCAGGGTTAGAGGGGTGAAAGGTTGAACCTGAAATCACACCGGGGTCACCTCTCGGGTTAGGAGGGTTCACGCTGGGTGATGTGGTGCTGGCAGGTTTTGAACTGATGACATCCTGCTGTTTGGCGGACTGAGGGAACTTTGAACAGCATTTCGGGCAGGTGGACTTCCGACAAGCAAACGGGTGGGAGACCTATTGGGAAAGACACACAGTTTAGTCAAAAAGTGGCTTGAATGCTGCACGCTTTATTTAGTAGTGGAAATAAAGTGTCTATGTAGAAGTGGATGTCAGAAATACCTGATTTAATTTGCATTATGAACAAAACTCTACATTGTTAAACATCTTTTCTGCATTTTTAGCAGTTGCAAAGGCACTGTTTGGCAGCTAGCATAAAGGAGGGCAGGGGCCGCGTGTGGGTAGATTGGGGGAAGCAAGGGAATTTAAATTAAGCAGGAAATTGGAACAATTAACTCCACGCTCATTCATATATTACATTTTATTTTCGTGCGGTTGCAAAAAGCCAATTTTTCGCCACTAATTGCATAGTAAACACCTTAAAAAAAAGACACAAATTACCATTTCAATAATTCATTAATCTCACCTCCCCCAGGTGTTTATTTGGCTGACAGAGCCCCTGAGGACAATACATGCAGTGCTGAATGCAGCAGCGGTGAATGGAGTGGTTGTGCTGGTAGTGCAGCAGCAGCGGAGCCACCACGATCACATCCGCACTGTGGGCCATTGAATAACGGAAGTCGCACAGCTGACAGTTGTAGCTGGTCACAACTGCTTCTGAGTCGCTGTTGTTTGGGTCTCCTAGGTGCAGAGAAAAAAAGAGAAAACCCGCATAAAACCATGTAGTTCCTGGCCTCACAAAAAAAAAAAGGTAGAGAGTCAAAAGAGGGCATCTGTTTTTTATGCTAAAGCAAACAAATCCCTGAATTTGTATCAGAGTGTTGCACCATTCTACCAAAATTCCTCCATTTTTATTACCTTGGCTGGTGCTGGACAGGTTGGACAGCGGATCTTTGCGACTTTTTGATGCGATATGTTCTCGGTCTCCATCTCTTTTCACCCTTCTTTCTCTTTCTCTGTCCACCCCTGCGGGAAAAGAACTGTTGGGGCTCCCAGCGCCGCCCCTGCTCATTCTGTGTCTCTGTTCGTAGTGCTCTAAAAGCTTGGCCGAGCCTCCCGAGCACTCGCTACTCCAGCTGCAGAACTTGCACCAGTAATACGCCTGCACGGCTCCTAGGCTGGTCTCCCCCGTCCAGCCGGCTGGGTCCGAACAGGCTCGGACCGGGAGGAAGTACCCCACCAGGGAGTCGTCCTCGGCTCTCACCGCCACCCGCTCGGCCCCGTCCAGGATCTGACTCCGCCCCTTCAGCTGGCCGTCGTGGGCCGTCAGATTGTTGGTGGCTAGCAGGGGTGTGGTCGGCGGGGTTTTGACTTTGTTGGGGTGCGAGGACAAGAAATGTTGCTCCAGTTCCAAAGAGTTGCTTCCCATGTACGTGAAGTTGCAGAACTTGCAGCGGAAGTACTTAGTGTTCCCCTGACAATCCGAAGTCTTACGGCCAATTCCGATCAGAGTGCCGCCCAACGTCACCTGAGGAGGAGCAGAAAAGAGTAAGACAAAGCTTTATTTCAGAATTAAATATCTTTCTGTATACAAATAATTACTGCACAGTTTACGAGATCTATTAACAAGATCATTCACTGAGATCATACTGATAGCTGATAGTAGCAGAGTCCACTTGTGGCCTATTTGTTATTGCACACTCCTAATTATATTCATTAGCACATATTGGAAGCTCATTGTGTCTTGATTATTTGAGGGATCTGGATGGACTAAGCATTAACAACATAGCATTTAGTCCTGCTTATAATTGCATTAAAAAAACGTGTAAACAGTGCTGTCGTTTGCTTTCACATTAAGTTACATATACAGCTAGCACATGTTTGCCCTCGAGGACAAAAGTGGTACATGAGAGAAGGCACATCCAATGAAAACGTTTCCCCTAAACATAAGATATTTAATGGTTGTTTCATATAAAAATTTTGGGGATAACATTTACTTTCTTTTGGTGTTACTTAGCTATAGCAAGTGGAAGAGAAAATTCTATTTGGGTTACCTAAACACATTTTCAAAATGATACAATGCAGTCACTCAGAAAAATACTCCACCAAATGAGGGCAGGACAACAGTCATTTATATGTGCGACCTTAAATCAACAACAGTACGATATTACAGCACCTTATCTGCTCCGATAAGGACCAAACAAAAAAGAGGAAGGACGCCACATCCCAAGAGGGGAAGCAATGAAACGGATAAAGGGCAAAACGGAAAAAGTGAGGGAAGTGTGTAAGTGGGCAGAGAAAAAAAGTGAGATGGACGAAAAGCAAACAAATCACTTTGCTGGAAAAAAAGATTAAACAGTCAAAAAGAGTTAGCAATGAAAGATGGAGAAGTTAGAGAAAAGATAGAAATGTATGTTAACAGAGAAGAAAGAGATGAAAGGGAAAGTAAATATATTTCTGAGAGCTGTTTCATTACACTTTCTAACAGTTGGTTCTAACCACTGCTCCTCTGCCTCCCGCTTCCAAGTCTCCTTCCCTCCTCCATCCCTGCTCCTCCTTCTCTCATCTCAATTTTTCTTTTCCTCCCATTGGTTGACGGAGAGTGTCGTCTCAGCAAATGACAACATGGAATTTTCCAAACGTGGGCGGGAGACAGAAAAATTAAGTGCGGGAAGGAGAGAATAGACTCCTTTCATTCGATTTTGTTTCATATTTTCACTTTTTTTTTCGGCACAATGACGATTTAAGCCCACTGGATTTTCTATTTCTGACTCTGTGTGTCTGTGTGTGCGAGCGTGGGTGCTCTCTCATCTATGGCTGTGTGTGTTTCTGTGGTCATTACGTGACTTACAGCTGGCTCAAATGAAATAAAGTAATGGACTATTCCACACACACATCTATTACATCTAAACCTTTTGCACAAAAACCTTCCAGTTTATTTTCACATAGTTTAAACCTAATCCGTGACCCAGATGTTGCTCAAACTGTAATAGCACCCACATAAAAAAAGACCAATATGGAAATTACTAATGATGATAAAAGGGCTTATTTTCAAAGCATGCGCTTTGGACTGAAAATAAATCCACAGCAGAAGTTAACAGGTGTTTTGTTAACTCCCTCATTAGACACAATTTTGGAAATTAATGAGAATACTTGAAGTCAAATAAGGTTTATGTTTAATTCTAATTGAGTAAAAAAAATTCAAATTTGTTTAAAAAAAGGTGGGAAGTGATGAGGCTTGACTTTAAAGTGTATGGCAACCTCTTAAAACTACGCGCTATGGAGTAAAACCAAACAGATGAATTACAGGCCTGCGTGCAAATACAACACAAACTTTTAAAGTATATGTTTTTATTTCAATGTTCAGAAAGTCTGCCCATCTACATCTGGAATTCAAATGAAAGCTGTCCACCGAAACAGGTGTTAATAGCAGCATTCATATCCATCCAGTTTAAAAGGGCTAGTGTCCAGTAGAGTCCGTTCATGAAACGGCCTAAAGGAAGCATTCAAAAGGCCATAATTTAGGATCGTAAAAAATTTAAAACAACAGAAAAAAGAAAAGCTGACGTGTTAAAGCTTCTTTCTAATGCTTCAATGTTTATTAGTGGTAGGAAAAGCAAATCAGTGTTGAGTGAAGGTGTTGTTGTTTTTTCTACCTTGTCGACAGCAGCTGATTTCACTGATTGGGACCCCTTGATTTAAAGTGCAGCAGAATGACAGAGGGCATCCCTAAACCCTGATTGATTGGCTAATCTGTTGGCGTCAAAGCCACATGTGAAAACTGCAGTGAGTTACTTAATATGCTGTTCTCCAATATGATTACAAAGGACGGTAACATTTCTATAGTAGAGGGAATTAGCTAACCTTCATCCCCATTAACCTACATTTTCATTATGAGAACTCTAACCAGATCTTTGTCCTTTTTATAAAAAATTACAATATAGAAGACGAGCACGGCATTGACATCAATCAGCCTCGTTGTGGTTTTTCACAGATACGATGATACAGTGAGAAATTTAGGAGGCAGACAGTGTTCCTGTGCTTAAGTCTGTATTTACACACACCTCTGGCCTGTTCTCCAGATGTGCTAACCGTCTCCCCTTTTGTGTCACTCCTTTCACCGAAATTAAGTCCATAAAGTTTTAGAACTTTCAGCACCATGCTTCTTTTTCTAAACAACTTAGCTGTTGTTGGAAAAGAGCTGCAGCTTAATCAACACAATAAATGACTCTATTGAGTTCTGTGGCCCAGCTCGCAGACTTCTGCTCACAATTAACTGTTAACTGAGTTTGCTGTTGTTCATCTTAGCTTTGATTAATGACAATGATTAATGAGCAAAATATTTCTGACAGACGGTGGCACAGTGCCTGATGGTGCCCTATTAAAGGAGTCTCGCTCTTTCTCTGTTATTGATGATTGAACGTGAGCAAACAACAACATCAGCAAAATAAACCACTCTGCTTGTTTCCTAAATGCAGCTGATTAATGTTTGGCCTATCCTCATATCTCCTTACGAATGTCACTTTAACTAATACTTTGATAATGATCAAAAGAAAATGTAAAAATGCAAATACCAGTTAAAGTAGAGTGGATTTGCACTCCTCAGTGTTACATATGGGATCATAAAATGTTCTACTGCTTCTATTGGATGTCCTGTGTATCCGGTGGGCTAACTGGCTAATCGACAAACAAAAATCCAGATGGGTGCCAGTACAGCAACAAGCATGGTGACAAAAAGACCAGTTTCAATACCTCACAACACATAATCCAGCCTATATTTTTTTGCAAATTCTCTCAAGAAGTCAATTATCAGTATTCTGGAAAAGAAAAAAACACTCAGTGGCAGTTTGATCTCTTTTTGACCATTTAAATTTGACTGATATACAGTTATATGCAGACAACAATTGTCATACACTTTATATCTTAATCCCCTGGATCTGTCATTCTTGAGCACCACCTACCTGTACGTCATAAGTGCCGTTCATCATAATTGTCCTGTGCTGCTGGTTTTGTGCATCAGGTCTTGTCTTCCCCACCTCTTTGGTTTGGCTCCTCTGTCCCTGCCCCGCTGGTGAGTCTGACATCAAAGAAATAACACGGGTTCACACTGAGAGGAGCAGATACACTTCCAGAGGCAAAGATAGCTGAGGACAAGTGGCGTCCAGTTGACGGGAAAGCTGTTAGATCAACCGACTTAAAAAAAAACTGTTGTTGAAAGCAACCCTCAGCTTTTTGAGAAAGCCAACTTACCACGAACCATTACAAATATCTACATTCCAATGAGAGAGAGACCTTTCTAAGACAAGCAGTCTGAGTCGAGCTACTGCTGGATTTTTATCTGGATTTCTGTCATGAGCTCTATCTGTGACGTCCACTTTGTGGAACGGTTAAAACTACTGCCTCGAGGGGAGAGGGCTGTGGGTCTGATCAACAGCGTCAGGAATGAGATTCGCTGACTGTCGATCTGGGATCCTCTAACAGCTTTTGCGTGGACTGATAACTTCATGGTTTAAAAGGCCTCAACATGAGTCAGAGCACACTTTAAACAGACAGCTAGTTACCTAGATTTGTGTGTTGGGGAGCCATGTTGTGGAGGGCCAGGATGTGTGTGTCAAGGGCAGCATCCTGTCGTGTGCGGTTGTGCAGACCCAGGTGATACTTCCTAAAGTGCTTCACCAGGTCAGCGGGGTCGTTTCCGTAGTAACCGTAACCACACACATTGCACTTGAAGTCCTGGAGTTTAGGAGAAGGGCTGGAGGGCAGTGGAGGGGTGTCAGTAGGCGACTCCTCCCCTCCTTCCTGCCGGGATAGAAGGAGTGGGGCAGACGGGAGAGGAGGAGTGAGACGATCTGCCTCCCTTCTGTCTCTGCGGCTCCTCTCTCCCTCCTCCGCTCCCTTCTCCCCGTCCTCAGGCTCCGACTGACTCTCGGCTCTCTCTGCCAAAGCTGCTCCTACCGGTTTTGACCTGTCTGCTCCTCCTCTCCTGCCCCCTCGCTCCTCATTACTGTAGCGATCCCCGACAGATGAGGGCGAGACAGACGAGGAGATGCACTCACTTTCTCCCTCCTCCTCTTGCTCCTCATCCCCTCTGCTGCGTTCAGAGGCTTCGGGCTCGGAGGGTCGGTTTATCCGGTCAGCTTCTGCTCCTACTCTCTCGTCTTCCTCTCCTTCTTCTTCCTCTTCTCCTCCTGTTGGCCTCTTCCCCTCTTCCTCCTCTTCCTCCTCACCTCCCACACTCCGGATAGGGGGATTCTTCTTCCTAACCATCTCTGAAAAGGTGACAAGAGACAAATGATGATTATCTTTAATACAAGTTCTGCTGATTGTGGTGTTTACTTAAATTTGGGGACAAAGCAAAGAAAGTTTGCTAAAATACAAACAGCTATTTTTTCAGAAAACAATGTGCAAAGAACAGCTTACGAATCTGTGCTTATTCTCTATCACAAATCCTGTAAAAATTGAATGCAGACATGATGATAAAGGATCATCTCAGCCGTGAGAAACGTTCCACTGTGGCGTACATGAGATGGAACGTCCGTCTAACACAGACCCGCCGAGCCGTTTTCCCCCTCAAACTTTATGAAAACCATTCATGAGAATCTTCCGCACGTGACCACATCAAGACAAAAACCATATCAGAGAGGCAGCGAGGGGCGGAGAGGGTGAGGCGCGGAGACACTGGGGTCGGGGGGGTGCAGCCGTAGGAGAGAGACAGGGAGAATGGCTAACACAACACCACATCAAACCGAACACCCCGTATCAGAAAGATGGATGAGGGAGTCTGCAGACGGCAATTCATCCCCTCCAGCAGTCCAAATTTCTCTTTTTTCGCAACCCTTTCTGTTTCCTTTCATTTATTTCCGAGCTCACCGACTACACCCGTTTTCATGTCTTTCTCCACCTGCATAGCCACAACTGTCTCCGGTTCTTCTCTTTGGTTCTTTTCTCTTTCACTCTGCTTTTCATTCTCATTCAAGACCTCATTTTACTTCCCCTCCCCCTGCTTTTTTTTTTCTCTTACATCTCAACTTCTCATCGTTTTCTTGAATTTCTCGCGACCACACTCCCTTTTAAAGCTCCCAACACGCAACTGATTAAAAAAAAAAGAGCGTCAAGGCGCTTTTCCGTTTGTTTTCGTCCAACCTCCTGTTCTCTATCACCTCGTTTCACAAGCTAGACTGTAACAGTAATTGAAGTGATTCCATCAATATTTTTTTTTACTTCTGCTATGTTCCCTTTCTCCCAACACCCCGCCCCCTTATAATCACTTTGCAAAGCCATCAAATAACCACCCATGTGTTTCATGTTAAACCATAATCTTTCTTTTGTTCAAAAAGAGAACAATTGTGGTTGCACTGTTCACAACAGTCGTGACAGAGAGGGGCAACATGTGTTTTTGCGAGGCCTCGTGTACGCGCGAGTGTGTTTATTTGTGGTCGCTCGGTTCATATTCGGTCGTAAACACAGTCAACCCGATGACCCATATTCTACTTTTGAATGTGTGCGCGCTTGATCGTAAACAGAGTCGAACCCAACAGACGCCCGATAGACGCCGATACTGATCACTTTTAGATCAATGCAATATGACGGGGGGAGACAGTGAGTGTCACTGAGTGTGAGTAATGCCTGTTTGATGATCTGCCTGCAGGAGAAGATAGCATGTGTGCAAAGCTAAGAGGAGCTCTGTGCTAGCCAAACCCTGGTTGTTATTTACCGGTACGGAACGTTTTAAGAATGAGAGTGTGGACACTTCCAAAGAAAAGAAGCGAAAGGGGAACGCACTTGAAAGCCCGTAATCAGATGACCATAAACAAACACATACGCAGATACACATAAACAGATTAAAAAGGCTGGTATTTAAGCAGCCCTGTAATGTTAAGAGGATTAGAAAACGAGAAGAGAAAGGGCAGAAAGAGAGCAATAGCGGCTGCTGCTGTTGAATTCAATTTTCTCTCTGTGGCCTTTGTAGTATTTTACAATTTTCTCTCCCTCTTTCTCTCTACCATACAACTATTAAAATAAAGCAATTTATGTCTGCAGAGGCCCACGCCTAGACCAGCCCTGGCACTCGCTTCATATGTGTGTGCGTAGCAGGGAGTGAGCGCGGGGAGCAGAGGAAAATCTCATCTGATGTTCACCACACCCAGTCAGAATTCATCATTCACTTACGCGCACACACACACACACACACACACACACACACACACGCAGTGGAAAACTACAGTAGGTTGTGGTAAAGCGATGAGGCTGAAATCCCGTCCCGAGAAGCACAGACTGACCTTAATGTGTTTCCATCTGCCCCGTGTGCCTGCAGTGGGGACTTTGAAAAGTTCATAAACGCAATAATGATGGCAATAATTAGATTTATGAATGATTTTAGTGGGGCGTGAAATCAATACAACAGGAAGTGGTAAGAATATTACTATCATATAACATCTGTTGATTATGGGATCTTTTTTTTTTTAGGGGGGGGGCATACTTGGGATGCACTTGCATGAGGGCAGGAGGCAGAATGCGTTAAGCGGCGGGAGTATGTTTTGGAGTGTGCGCATCTGTACATCTGTTCCTCAACGTCGCAGTGCAGCCTTTGTGTGCTTGGGGCTGTATACACAGACTGGAGCCATTACTATCAACTACAATTAGGTACAACCCACTACAACATGCTGCATAACTTGTGCTACTAGCAACAATTACCCCTCGTACACCACAATGGCCCCGACACCACAGCGTAGACAAATGTGACAGCTAATCATTTCCATCAACGACAATTAGCCCCCAACACCAGCGAGGCTTTTATCTGAAATTGCCAATAATGGTCCTGAGACAGCAGCAGGGAGGTAGGTTTCAGTGGTAGGTAGCATACACGCTAAGTCAGAGCACTGAACTTCAGGATTTCATCTTCCTAAACCGGCAGGGTTTTGTGAAAAGTAAGAAAAGGTTTGTGATCTGAGCAACTTGATTAAAGGCTGAAAAGTTTTTACAGCAGTTGCCAGAGTGTAAATCATGTTTGAATTGAAATGACACATTCAGATATTTTTTTTTATGTAAGCCCAACCCTCCGTTGTTAAGAAGACGGTTGTTTATTGTGACGGGTCCCTGTATCTGGAGCTGCACGTTTAATATCTCTCATTACTGGGAAATTACAGTAGTTTTTATTGCTTGATGTTTTTCCTCTTAACTCCCACTCTTATTGACTCTTAAGGCTTTCTGCAGTTTTGTCCCTCCACTGTCCCCATCCTGAAAAATCAGTCTTGAATTTTTGTGCAAACGGAACAGAACCAAACTGATTATCAACCACTTTGTGTAAAATCGGTCACCTCATTTAAACGGAATGAACATAATCCTCACATATCCATAAAGATGTCTGTAAGGTATATGGTGCTGTGCTTTAAAAAAAAACAAGTGACTCAAACTTCCCCACACATTGTGTGCGGCATCACTGAGTAAAACCAGTTTCTCATTACGCACCTTATAAGAAACCAGAGCATGAGGTTTTCTCATTTAGAGAACAATGTTAGATGTCACTAATGGAGAAAAACTGATTACTCCAACATCTTCACCACTTCACCCAGTGACTCCAAGCTAATTCTCTAAATGCATATTATTGAGTCACAGTAATGGATGGCTTTGATACTGACTCTCAACACATCCACACACTCCTGCTGCCTCCAGATATCGCTGCTCTCCCCCCCCGTCCCGTGAGACCGCTGCGGTTGGCATCTCTTGTCTTTCATAAACACAGGATTAATGTGCAACGCAGGAAAAAATGGTTAGGGAAAGGTCCCGTTGAGCAGATAGTCTCTTTCTGTTACTCTGTGAGTGTTCCTGTTATCTGTAGAAATTTGCCTTCACTCTGTTGCTTTAACGGTGCATTTGTTGTACTATGATTTTCAGGAGATGTTGAAAAGATACATTCACCTATGTAAAGTCAAGCACAGAGAAGGGTGAGATGACAACCAAATATAACAGTCTTCATGACGGGTAGTGAAAAAGAAAGAAGTTAGAAAGACACAGAAAAAGGCTAATTTAGAGATTTTTTTTTGTATAAACTAATTTTACAGACAAAAGAAAACGGTCCAGGTTGACTGACACAATTAAACAGCTTTCTCAGACATTTATTTCAAAATATTTGGATGATACTGCAGACAAATGAGCCATCGACGGTGACCAGGCACGCAGCACAGGAAGAGGAAAGCTGGCTGATGGGATTTCTGTTTTGTGGGTGACTAGTTAGAATTTGGAATGGATTTTTACAGAGGCGGGAGTCTAATTGAAGGTAGAGAGGAGGCACAAGAGAGAAACAGAAGGCGGAAACAGACTCCACCTGCCATTTTCAGACTTTGGGCGGACTGGTAGGCCCCTAATCAATGCCAGAATCACTACTCGCAGGCACACAAACACACACCCATCATCTGCTCTGTACCAGGGGCCCAATTCACTCCTGCCATGCATCAAGTAAATCACACACATACGCGTACTGACACACACTGACTCATATGCAGACACACTCTCAGAGTGCAGGACTCATTTGTAATGGGGAAAGAGCATGCAAAATGTACCGTCTTAAATGTCAAACTTAATCAAAGGTTTATATTTCAATACCTCTCTTCCTCATTTAGAGCCTCCCTCCCTCCCTTTTCTCACTTTTTCGATGGTTTTTCAGATTTTTTGACACACACAAGCTGACACTGTGAAACCCACCACATCCGTCCTCTCGCTATCGGCCCATCTTTCATCGACCGCTCTTCTCTATCAATTATTTCTTTCCCGTCCTTATGGCTGGTCCGTGGACTTGCCTCCTCCCTTTTCCCAGCATGAGCATTGTTGTTGTGCTCGTGTGTTTGAACTGTCAGTAATAGTGGAAGAGACGTACATAAATACACCCCATTTTAACAATTAAGTGTCATGTTGAGAATACCTGAACGCAAAGATCAACAAACAAAGTGGACCGCAAAACGTTCCATTATCCGTCCAGATGATGGGGAACAAGTCCAGCCCCCCCCATCAAACAAACTTTATTAAAAGTCTATTAGTCTGACCTCGTATAACTACTCTGGATTACTGCACCAGACAGGGCCTGGGAAGCTCTGAATTGTGCGTGTCTAATACTCTGTAGGAGGGCAGTCTAAACCCTTCAGGGAGTCCACGGGGAACACTGGTGTGCAACACAGGCGAACAAGAGCACAAAACTGTACGGACTGGAGTTGTTTACCGAGCATTTGGAGTTTTAAACCGGCATTCAGACATCCCTCACAGGCGACAGAGAGAAGAGAGCACATCTGTAACAGTCAGGTCCTCCACCGCATTAAGCACAAGGTCTGAATTCAAGCCTTTAAGCTCAATTAACAACTCACACACACACACACACATATTGAAAAAGATGAAATAAAAAATATCTTGAGGTGGCAGAAACTCAACCTAATTAGGAAACTTTTCCCACTGTGAGTCACTCAGCGTGACACACACCTGCACAGGCAAATATGAAAGCCCCACACGATTAGCCCATGGTCAATAAAAATCCATTTTGAGGATTGTGTGCCGGCTTTTACGAGGGCTATAAAAACCGGTTACGCATTCCCGTGAAGGGATGTGTATGAATATATTAGGTTGTCCACTTGTTCAAGTCAAATATCTGGAGGTTAGCAGGTTTGAATGGAATGAAAGACTGTGAATGCTCATTACTACCCACAAATCCCTGCCAAAGCATTGTTGGTCCTTTGTCCAATAGGACCTTAAATGGTGCTGAAGTAAATCAGCATTGTGCACACACACACACACACACACACACACACACAGGCTGCGAAAAGTCTCTATCCAAAACACACAGCAGTGACATTTTATTTAATTGACACCAACAGTTATACACTTCCCTTTGTACATTAAGGAGTTGTGTGTTCACATCTGTTT